TTGAACAGGAGCGGTGATAGTGGACATCCTTGTCTTGTTCTTGATTTTAATGTGAAGGTTTTCAGCTTTTAACCATTTAAAATGATACTGCCTGTTGGTTTTTCATAGATAGCCTTTATCAGGTTGAGGTGAATACCATCTGTTCCAATTTTCTATAGGATTTTTATCATAAATGGGTGTTGAATTTTGTCAAATGCTTTTTCTGTATCTATTGAGATGATCATATGGTTTTTGTCCTTGACTCTGTTAATATAGTGTATTACATTTATTGATTTACATATGTTGAACTGATCTTGCACCCCTGGAATAAATCTGACTTGGCCAGGGTGTATGATCTTCTTGATGATCTTCTGTGTTCTGTTCACCAGTTTCTTACTGAGGATTTTTGCATGTATGCTCATTAGGGGGATTGGCCTGTAGTGCTCTTTTTTGGTTGGGTCTTTCCCAGGTTTTGGAATCAAAGTAATACTTGTTTCCAGGAATGAATTTGGAAGTACTGCTTCCCTCTCAATTCGATTGAAGAGTTTAAAGAGTAGTGGCAATAGTTCTTCTGTAAATGTCTTGTAGAATTCATCAGTGAAGCCATCAAGATCTGGGCTTTTTTCTTTCTGGTAATGTTTTAATTACATTTTCATTTTCACTGATTATAATTGGGGCGTTTAGACTTTTTATATCTTCTTCGTTCAACTTTGGAAGTTCATATGTATCCAGGAATGTGTCCATTTCTTCTGTATTTTCCATTTTATTACAGGTTTTCCAAGTAGGTATTAATGATCCTCTGGATTTCTGCTGGATCTCTTGTGACTTCACCTTTTTCATTCCTAATTACATGGATTTGAGCCTTTTCTTTTCTTTTTTTGATAAGGCTGGGTAAGTGTTTATCCATTTTATTTATTCTTTTGAAAAACCAACTCTTCAATTCACTGATTTTTTTTGTATAGTTCTCTTAGTCTCTCTTGCCTTAACTTCTGCTCTATTCTTTATAATTTCCTCCCTTGTATGAATTTTGGGTTTGTCTTGCTCTTCTTTTTCTAGAAGCTTAAGATTAAGTATTAGGTTGTTTATTTGAACTCACTCTGTTTTCCTAGTATGGACATTTACTGCTATGAATTTCCCTCGTAGAACTGCTTTCATTGTGTCCCATAGATTCCTGTATGTTGTATTGGCATTGTCATTTAACTGTAGAAACTATCTTATTTCTTCTTTAATTTCCTCTGTGACTCATTGGTTGTTCAGCAGGGTGTTAATTTCCACGTGTTTGTGAAGTTCTTCCGGTTTCTTAGGCTATTAATTGCACTATGGTCTGATAATATACAGGGAATATTTACTTAAGCATTATCTATGAGCTAGCATGTGGTCTTATTTTGGAGAATGACCCATGTGCAGCCGAAAAGAATGTAAATTTTGATTTTGTGGGGTGGAACACTCTGTAGAAATCTACTAAGTCCCTTTTTTCTAAGATTTGGTTCAGTTCTGCTATTTCATTGTTGATTTTTTTGTCTAGATGATCTATGTCAATTGAGGTCCCCCACTACAATTTTATTAGTGCTTACTTGTTTTTCATATCCATTAATATTTGTTTTGTATAGTTGGGGCATTAGTATTCGGTGCATATTTATGATTATCATTTCTTCCTCTTGTATTGTTCATTTACAAGGATGTGTAGTGGCTTTCTTTGTCTCTCTGAATTAGTTTTGGTTTGTAACCTATTCTCTCTGCAAATAAGATAGCTACCTCCAACGTCTTTGGCATGGAGAACTGTTTTCCATCCTTTTACTCTCAGTCTATGAATTTCTTTGTGGATTAAGTGGATTTCTTGTATACAGTGCTTTGTTGGATTTTGTTTCTACATCCATTCTGCCAGCCTGTTCCTTTTGATTGGTGAATTGAGGCCATTAAGATTGATGGTTGTAACTTATGTATTGACTTTACAATGCCTTGTTATTTTCCCATTGTTGGTTCTTTTTTTATTTTTTCCCCTCTCCCTTTAATTCCTTGCCCTGCCTGTTATATTTGCTCTGTTGGCCCTCATGGAGTTGTCTTAATTTTCTTTTTCCAGGATACTGTTTAGAATATGTTTGGAGGGCTGGTTTGTTGTTCATGAAATTTCTGAGGTGTTTTTTGTCATGGAAGTATCTTACTTCCCCATCCATTTTGAAAGATAGTTTTGCTGGCTACAACAGTCTAGGTTGGAGGTTGTTTTCTTTCAGGACTTGAAATACCTCACTCCAGGCTCTCCTTGACTTGAGGGGTTGTGATGAAAAATCTGCTGTGATTCTGATGGTCTTTCCTTTGCACATGATTTGTTTCTTTGCTCTTACTGCTTATAGTATTTTGTTCTTCTATTGGATTTCCGGAATCTTGATTATTATATAACTAGGTGCAGATTTTTTTTTATCATGGCTAGTTGGTATTCTGCATGCCTCACTTATCTGTGTGTCAAATTCTTCCCCTCTGGGAAGTTTTCTTTCATTCTGTGAACAGTTTTTTTTTTTAATGTCATTTTAACTTTCTCCTGCTACTTCATGGATTCCTGTCAGTCTTATATTATTTTTGTTTGCATCATCTAAGAGTTGTTGGACTGATTTCTCATGATTCCTTACTGTTTTTAAGAGATCTCTCTTTTCATGCTCACTGACCACAATCCTATCTTCTATACCTGTAATTCTATCTTCACATTCATACATCCTGCTGTGAATGCTTTCTGTAGAGTTTTTAATCTCCTGGATATCTGTTTGAATCTCTTTTGTGGATTCCATTTCTTTCCTATGTTGGCCATTCATGGTTTCCATCATGGTCCTGAGCTCATCTATTTTTTTTATGTTTCTCTTCTGTAGTCTCTAATCATGTCTTTCATTCTTCTCACCATCTCTGTGGTTATCCGTGAAATTATTTCTGTTTTGTATTTATCTAGATCCTCATTTATCTGTTTTTTTTTTCTTCCTGTGCTTCCGGATCAGGGTGTCCAGATGGTTGATTGTCAGTCTTTTCCACCTCATTTATCCCAGAGTTTACCTTTGGTGGGGTGTAAGTCTGTGTTTTTGCCTTGTTGAAATGCGTTCTCATTTCTATTTTTGGTACAGTCCTTGGTTTAATTCCTGATTCAATACTTTGATCTTCCAGATAGAGCTGGTCTTTAGGTTTTGAGTCTCTAATGTCTGTGAGGCAATCTCATTTTCATTATACCAGGGAGGACAGTTGATGAGATGAATCATAACACTTTACTTAGTCCAAGTGATACAATCAGCAACACAATAACGGCAAGCACAGCTTAGAAAATGACAATTTGTGGTAGTTATTAATCTATCACCTTTAACTCTGTGAATTAAATCAAAATCAAGGACCAGTCCAAAATATGCTTATAGTGAATAAAGCTCTTCAGTATAGCAACTTTACCCTTCAGGATTGGTATTTAGAAGGAGTTGCAGAGAGGAGGGATAGATAGGATAGAGAAAGATTAGAAGTGAGGACATAGGAATATCACACAAAGTCTGGGAGCTATTGAAGAGAAGAGGAGAAGACAGAACAAAATATACCCAAGAACAGAACAGACTAACACCAATAGGGAAGCTAGAGACTGTAATCCCTTCCTTTTGAAACTCATGGCAATTGAAAGTAGGAAAATGAGAAGAAAAGGAAAAGAAAGAAAATAAATTTGAATTAGGATAGGAACCGGAACTAAAAGGGAGAATGGTGGAGATCAAGGTGGGGTGAGGGTGAGAGAAAAAAAAAAGAAGATAAGAAAAAGAAGATTTAAAAAAAGGGAAAAGTTTTGAGAAAAGAAACATAATTTTTTTTTGTTTGTTTGTTTTTGTTTTTGGAGACAGGGTCTCTCTATGTAGTGAGACTGACCTGGAACTCACTATGTAGCTCACGCTGTTCTCGAACTCACAGTGATCCTCCTGCCTCGGCCTCCCGAGTGCTGAGATTACAGGTGTGCGCCACCATGCCCGGCCTATAAAAATTTTTTAAATGAAGATAAAAGAAAAATATTATTTGACACAATAGACAGTGTAGGCAGGAGTGTGCAGATCTAAGCTAATTAGTCTCAGCAAGCCAGCAGCTGTCCCCTGAGGTTCAGGCTGATTTCTGGCTGCAAGGCCCAAGCTGAGATCTCTGTCCTCCTGCTGGGTTGAACTCGGGCCTTGCAGCCAGAAATCAGCCTGAACCTCAGAGCTGCCTTTGATAGTGTGTCTGTCCCAGTTTGCTTTCCCACAGTCAACGACTAAGAATCCTGCAGTTCTGTCCCCTCCACACCACGCTACAGAATGCATAGTGTTTTCAGTATTTGGATTCTGGCTTTTCTGTAGGTATGTTGTGGGAACCTGGATTTACTTTACACTTACTTGATGACGTGAGATAGGGAGCCCCTTTTCTTCTGCTTGTTGGCCTCTGTATCCGTATATGTGCATCCCACTAGTCCAGAAATTCTACTGCTGGGCATTTGCTCAATAGAACTGAAAGTAGGACTTGAGCAGGTACTTTATCTCCGTGTTCATGACAGCCTTGTTCTCAGTAGCCGCAGTGTGGACATAACCAAAGAGTCATCACTGTGAATGGAGGAATGTGAGCTACATGTATATGGCGGGATATTATTAAGCTTGAAAAAAATTCTGACTGATGTCCCATCATGCCTAGGTTTTGAGTAGATGATGCTAAATGCACAAAGCCAGTCACAAAGGCAAATGCTCTTTCTATGCCACTTCCCTCTGTCCAATTTGCAGAGAGTAGAAAGGGGGATGGTGCCCACCAAGGGCTTAAGGCACTGGGGGACAGGGTGTTCCTGTTTCGTGGAAGTGTCTGCTGGTGTGGTGAGGCTTGCACAGCAGTGCGAATGTGTATGTGGAAATGGTTAAGGTTGTCCATTGTAAGCTACATGTATTTTTAATGCATTTCATCATTTGGGAACGAGAAAGCGGAATCATCCCTGAATCTGGCGAGGGGAGGAGGAGCGGACTTTGCTGTGGCCTTACTGACCTGCTTTGCACCCTGCCTTCCAGGCCCGGCGTGCCCGTGACCATGCAGGCCTTCTCAGAGGAGGAGCGGCGACAGTGGCTGGAGGCGCTGGGTGGAAGAGAAGCTGTAAGAATTGTCTGCTGTGGAGCCCCATTTCAAACTTTGCAGAGCTGGTTTGGGTTCACTGCTGTGTTTTTTCGGGTTTATAGTGTTTACCACAAGTTCCCTGCTGCAGCTGGTATTTGAGCTCATCTTGGAACATTCAGCAGTTCTGTAATTTGGCTTGGGATAGCCAGCCATGGCACACACTTGGCTTGTGTGTCCTTAGTTGTTATTTCTCATTTTTCTTGAACCCAGGATCTTTGCACTGGATTACATCACCAGCCCCTTTTTGTATTTTTTACTTTGAGACTGAGTCTTACCAAGTTGTCCAGGCTGGGCCTGAATTGGCAGTCCTCCTGCCTCAGCCTCCTACAGTATGGGGATGGCAGACATGCTCCTCCATGCCTGGCTTTCATGCTACTCTGAGGAAGAAATTAAAGGTAGAGATACAGGAAGGAGGCACCGGAATTCTGTCTTTGGCCTCTTCGTTCAAGCCCTGTCTTTGTTTCTGTGGACTTGTGGCTTTTGATGAGAATTTGGCAGATCACTAATGAATTGGGGATTTAGGGAGGAAAATTCTTAAATACCACAGAACCAATTAAAATAGTCTGCATAAAAGTATTATGACTCCTAATGAGCCTTCAGAGGCGGTAACAGGTGGGTTTATAAGCGTTTGCCATTTTTGAAAAACTAGAAGAGAGGTGCAGAGAAAGATAGGGCAGAACGGAGTTTACGGGATGTGCTAAAGACTCTTTTCCTGTAAACAGTGAGCACTTTGGTGAGCGCATAGGAAATGGGGGTGCAGAGCTGGCTTTTATGTGGGGAAGTGTGAGGTATGGCTTATTTTTTGCAGGGGGTATATGGCTTGTAAATAATGAGCCAGCAGAATATTTAGAGGCAGCCCAGAAGTACCGTCTTGATATTTGAGATACAGTGGACCCCTGATGTATGAACTTGCTTGATTTGTAACTCAGTACAGCTGCTATGTGGCTGTTTACTTGGGCACCCATTAGAGATGACAAGAGGCAAATGAATATTGCATTAGCCTAATTAGCCAAGGTGTTTGTCAGGCCAGTTGGTCGTAACTTGAGGGTCCATTGTATACTTAAATTATGGTCAGGGGGTCTTCCTTAAATAAATACCAGGTTTTAGGAATAATAGTGAGAAAAGGAGCCTCATTTTATTTTTACTAGACAGCCGCGGTTTCTTTGGCAACCTCTCCCTTTAAGGCTGAGCGTTTCAAATTGACATAAATTTCAGTAAGTTCCCTGAGGACCATGGCTCTTGCTCCCCCGTTGCCTCTTTGCAAACCTGTGTGGGAGAGAAGTACACACAGGCTTCCCTCTTTGCTGGTTACCTTTGTATGAGCATGTGGTGATATGCGATTAATCAAGAAAGCACTACATGTCTCATATGTGCTCACCCAGGACTCCAGCTTCCAGGGCTCTGTCCCATCCTGACTCGTTCAGACACCAGCACTGTGGCTTATAGGCCGGCTCAATTCTGAGCCTTCTGCCTCCAGTTAGCAGCAGATCCCCCAACTTTCTCCGATGCCCATCACAAGTCGGGGTGTCCCATACTCCCGCTGACTGGCCAGCCTGGGGAAATCCTGACCAACCACCTTCCTTCTTGGGCTCGCTGATTGACCAGAATGAGCTTCCCCGCCCTTTAGGGCAACTCCAGATTCCTGGCGTTCAGCATTTCGGAAGCTCTTCATATCCCCTTGCCAGGAGTCTTAGAGCGCTTAACCCGCAGGGCCACCAAAGAGGTCAGCAGTCCGGAGTATCCAGCCCCATCTTGAGGCTCTGTCCCTGTCCTAATCCCAGGTGCCATCCAGGGAGGCCCCTTAGGAGCAACAAAAGATATTCCTACTAGGCCATCTGAAAGAGTTTTGGAACTTTGCACTATGAAATAGGCACAGAGACCAAATATATTTATCATGATGCCACATTAACCAGTACGAAATTTTTAGAGACCATGCTTTGCATAGTCCTATTTGAATCATTTTTATTGTTTGGTTAAAAATACCATTTTTCCTTCTCTTTCTCACTAGCTGTTCCATAGTTTCAATAGAGCCATCATCCCAAGGCCGGAAGGAAGTAAGTGCTAATTTATAAGAATGATACTTTGGTTTCCTTTTGCATGTGTTACTTTGTGTTCATCACGGATGCCAGATTGTTGCTTGGGGCACACTCTCTGTACCCACTTTGAGCTCATCCACTGACTACTGTGTGTGTTCTGTCTCTTCCACTGGAGACTTCCTCAAAGCGTTCTGGGCTGCAGTAGCCCTGTTTCATCTCACCTGTGAGCTTTTCTAGGTGTTTTTCTCTACAGTTCACTTTGCTATTTATTCTTTCGGCCATAAATAATCCTGTAAAAATTTGGGGCATGATTTTGCATACCTGGTTGAGTCGCATAATTCTATTCCCAACCTTCCAAACCCTATCCTTTGTCAATCTAAATAAAAAAATCAGATTCTCCAAAGAAAAGTGACAGTTATTTGGGAAAAGCAGAGTATGGCAGTGGGATATGCATGCCATAGCAAACTATGGGCATATTCAAAGGTGGTAAGGCAAAGAAAGTTTTAAAGGAGAAAATGAGAAGGGTTATATCAGGTATTTTGAAGCAATATTCTTTAGCCACGATGATGAATCAGTGGCACCAGCGTGAAGTTGAACAGTTAGTTGTTGGGCAGGGGTCTTTGCAGAAATACTTTTTGTTTTGTTCATTTATTTTTGGGGTAGAAGTTTGCTATGGTCTCTTCGCAAGCTTGTGCTTTTGACAAAGTCTTCTGTGATAGTTATTCTCAGGCAGTCATGTGGAAAAAATCCTTTTTCACAAAACTCCAGGCTTTTCCTTTTTTTTTTAACTTCTTTGGGTTGACACGAGTGACTCCATTTAGAGTTTGGCAACTTTTGTGTTTCACTTAAACCCTGTTACCCATTCTTTTTACAGCATTGGGAAGTATGGGTTTTATATAGCAAGGACATTTCAGAAAACACCAACAAATAACAAAATGCATTCTCATGTTCTAGGGAAAGGATCTTCATGTGCGTTGTATATACTTAGAGGAAAGCGAAATACTGCTTAGCTCTGTCCTGTTGAGTAATGCTGAGGTGAAGATACGAACATTTTGCTAGTCTGTTTATAAATTTATTTTTTGATACATTCAGAGAACTTAAGGTTATAATATCCACAGTTTGGAAATGCTACGTCCTATAACGTGTACTCTCACAATGATTGTGATCACTTGTGCCAATGCTGAATAACCTCTGGGGGTGGCAAGGGGGCCTCAGAAGGCAGGGTGTCCCCTGAGCACCTGCTCAGCCCTCTCCCTCCCCTCTGCTCTGCCCTCTTCCTCTTTCCTCCTCCTCCTCCTCCTCCCCCCTTTCTTTCCCTTCCCTCTTTTCCTACTCCTCCACTTCTCTACTTCTTGCTGTTTTTGTACAGAAAAGTTGGAACATGCTTTTTTTTGGGGGGTAGTTTTGCTAAGCAGTAACACTTGTGTTTTATAAAAGTGTAGGAAGAGTGAATTCTGAAAGAGTTAAAATACCGCCTAATTTCCATCGTTAAAAGCGTAGCAATTACGGATTATATATAAAGTTGATATTCATGTATTGCTTCTGCCTCCCCATTGAAAGCCCGAGTTTGGTGTTAAGTTCCCTGGATTCTAAATGTGGTGACTCCGTGTGCTGCTTTTTTTAGTTTAATTGAACCAAGAATTGGCCTTCATCTGGATATGAACAAATATGTCAGCCTCTTCATAGGCAAGCATCTAGATTAGGAAAAATATACAAAATCATGTTTTCAAAATGATCATCTCTGCCACATGAATCATCTGTTTTTCATCTAGTATGAAAATAAATATTATTTTAAAAGCTTGGAGCATGGTGCATAATATAAAAATTTTAATTAAATCTCATTGCCCAAATGCTTCAACAAGCGTTTCTAAAAAAATTACTGTGTTAAACAGGGTTATATTCTTAGAGGCTCAAGCAATCGAAGAGCCTTCATTCATATATGCAGTTCTCATTAACCGAGCTATTATTAGAATTTTGTTTTTTCTGAACTGGGGATCGAACTCTGGACCTTGCCCTTGCAAGGCAGGTGCGGTGCCACGGAGCCAAATCACTGTTAGAATTTTTGGTAAAACACATCTTGAGTAGCTTCCCTGAGAGATGCACGTCACTTTCTTTTGAACTGTTTAAAAGAAGTTGCATAAGTTAACTTAAATTACTTTAAATGAGAAATTTACTCATACGTTGTCCTGCTGCAGCAAATGGTCATGTAGAGTTCACATTCACGTCCTTTACACAGGACACGCGTGGCCTTTAGTTTTCTTTTCAAATAATGAAATAGGAATTGGATTGAGTGAAGCTCTTTTCCCAGTTTGTGTAGGGAAGACAGGGATGATGGGTACTAGTGCCCCTGAATATTTTGTAACTATTTCTTTTAGGTGCACAGTTGGATAAGATGGGATTCACGATTCTCAGAAAATGCATCAGTGCAGTTGAAACACGAGGTAACGTGACTAAATAATTTCATTCATGAAAGGATATAGGTATGTAAAATCTAAAAGTCCACTTAAAATCTGATTGCATGGTGTAAGTGTAGCATTTCGGACGCAATGCTCATTCTAGGCACCAGAGTCAGTTTACTCCTGTGACATTTTCCTTTTTCCTCATGTGTGTGTGGGAGAAATGTATACGTTATCCTTTGTATTAAACCATATGGTGAGTATTGAAATGAGAATTGTATTTTCTTGCTAGATCCGCCATAACAAACTCTCCAGACCCGGGGCCTTAGCTGTTCATCGTAGTTCTCATGGCCAGAAGACCAAGATCAAGGTGTCAGCGGGGACTAGGTTTCTTCTGAGGCTTCTGTCCTTGGTGCGCCTATGGGCACCTTCCAGCTGTGTACTCGTGGCTTTTCCTTTGTGCGTGCATGATTCTGTTGTATGTTTTATGTGTCTGCATTTCCTCTTCAAAGAACTTGGTGTCCTATTGGATTAGGGCGCTACCCTAATGTCCTCATTCTCGCTCAGTCACCTCTTTACAGGCCCTATCTCAAGATATAGTTATAAAGTACTGGGGGATAGGGCTTTAGCTTATTTATTTCAGCGGGACGCAGCTCATAAATATCCCTGGAAGAATTGTCAGCGTTGTGCAAACAATCCTGAAGCACCTTGAAGATGTTCTCCATCCCTTCTTTGTCTTGTGGGCCCCTGGTAAACTCATCAGTAGGACTTTGGATGGAGCTTAGGGGAAGAGTTCTTGCGTCGCATATGCAAGGTGTTGGGTTTGATCCTCGGCACGGTGAAAGAAGCAAAACGCCACACCTTTGCTGAAGTATAATTTGTATACAGTTAATTTTGACTGTACTAATCATTGAATTTTGAGAAGTGAATACAGTTTGTATAACCACCTCCACTGCAATCATAGATTTATGACCCCTCCTCTCCCAAAATTCCTTTCTTTGCAGTCACTCCCCATTCCCACTTTGATACTCGGCATGCCCTGAGCTGCTTTATGTCACAAGAGATAATCATAACATTTTATGTAATGGAATCATGTAGTTTTATAGTCTTGACTTTGGGTTTATTTAGCATGATACTTTAGGGAATTCCTCTTCTTGGGTGAAATCTTAGCTCATTTCTTTTTATTACTAGGTAGTATTCTATTATACGGCCATAAATATTCCCTTACATAGACACACCATATTATCTATCCATTCACCTGCTGATAAATATTGGGGTAATTTTCATTTTGAATTTTAAGGAAGGCTCATCCTTCTGCTTAGCAAAAGCCTAAGGGATTTTTCTTTGTTCCTAAGAACAAAAAAAGGGCTCTTTTAGTCTGTGCCCATTTCAGCAGACTTTGGAGGAACCAGATACTGAACACTGCCAAGGAAGTCGTAGTTTTCTTTGTTTGGAGACCCAGTGACATATGGGTAAATTGAGTTTTAACTCTTGTATATTCTATATTCAAGTCCTATTTTGGATGGCCTGGTGTAGGATGAAGCATTACATTCACATTTCCTGTCAAAATAAGGTCTTTGTTTCAGAGCCACTTGGCAACCCGTAAATGATGGAGTACTGAGTGGTAGATGGTTATGAGCTGTTTTTTGATTTGGGGGTTCACCCATCAATAACAACTCAAGCCATCGAAAGCCTCCTCTTCCACATTCTTCCAGTGGGGATTTTCATTCATTTCAACCTATGCTGCAGTTTTGTTTTTTTTTTTTTTTTTTTTTTTTTTTTGTAGCAGGGATCGAACTCAACAGGTCCTTGGCACTTGCGAAGCAGGCACTGGAACCACTGAACTAAATCCCCAGCCCTATGCTGCAGTTGAACTGTCAAATTTGTTCATTTTTCAGTGCTTCAGAAATTGAAAAAATTACTATAATTTTAATATTTTTTGCCCAGAACCCATTTTTCCCCTGAGGTCCATAGATCTTTAACTGCATCATTTGGATGCTTAATTTTGATAAATTCTTTTCTCAAAGGGTATGTCTTGCACATACTTGGCACCTGTCTGATCAGATAAAGATCTGTCTGAAGGCTTTCTGATTGGGGAGCATAGTTATATAAAGTGTTGTATCCATTGAACTGAATATATTGGAATCTGCATGTATTGAATGTGTTATTATAGTTTCTTTTTAAGTAAAGGTAAGCAGGTTGTGATAGAATTTCCTACATGAAAGGAAGAAAAAAATCACATCTCTTTCTCAAGTCTTTTATTCCCAAAGGTCTCCAGTTATTGAAACCTTTTGCTTTCAGTGAGGTAATAGACTAAAAATAGTTTGAGTCAACAGTCAGATCATGTTATTAAAAATGATAAGGAGCCTCATAGAATCTGAAGTTTTTGTCCTAAATTTGGAAGTTCCCTCAGGATATATTGCTTTTAATGATTTCCCCAAATCTGCTCTCTTTGTTGCTAGTCTTTTGTTATGCTGGAGTTTGTTGTCATCATACGGTTTCTTTCAGTATAAAGCTAGTGTGTGTTCCTGGAACAAGAACCTCGCAGATCTCCACAACTTAGAACCCAAGACTTAACTTTCTACTTACCAGATTTTCTTTAGTGGGGGCTGAGGTCACTCAGATACCTGGGCTTCTGGAGCAGCCAACCAAGCTCAAAGTTCCTTGTTGCCCTGCCAGAGAGAGACAGTTGTGGTGGACCTTAGACCAGCAAGCCAGTGCTCTGACATGAAAGTGAGAAATGTTTGTTCCCAGTTGGCCAGAAATAGCCTGCACAGACCTACAAAGCATGACACATACCAAGTCGGGAAAAAGCTGTGGTTTTCCAAGTTGAGAGATGGAGGTAGTTGGTGACTAGCATGTTAATGACCGCCAAGCACTTCTTAGTCTCCATGCCAAACGGCTAGCAGTATTTAATGCTATTGGAGAGTTAAGATGCTGTGATGCCTTCAGTGTTTTACATATGACTGTCATTGCCTGAAACTACTATTTTATGTGTTTCGATTAAAGTAGTAAGGTAAATTTCTTTTGCTGACTTTTTTCTTAATGTGCCTTTAAAAAAATGACACTCGATATTTAAAAAATTATCCACCTTACTCGTGTTCTCATCGAAATAGTTATAAGTCATCAGGCAGATGTTTAGAATCGACTGTAGTTCTCCGTACCCTAAGAAAAGATGCTAACCTGTATAAACCTCTAACATACGTGATCTGTATATGGGCCTGTTTAGTAGTTATTCTAATTTTGAGATGAGGAAGAATTCAGTGTTACCACTGTATCAGAATTAAATCGTTTCCATAAAGTTGTTTGCTCATGAAGTTAGAGCCTATGGGGAAGTCAAACCCTCCGATTGTCCACCATTCATGAAGTGTTCTGGTAACACAGTCTGTATCACCCGTACAAATAGGAAATGGTGGTGAAGCACCAAGCCAAAGGACTTCACAAAATAATTCTTCCCAAACTGCTGCACATTAGTTACCTAGGACCTTTAAAAATACTGATGCTGGGCTAAAGTATCCAGCCTGACTTAAATGCTAATGGCTCTGAACTATGTAGGAAGTGTTTTTTTTTTGTTTTGTTTTGTTTTTTCATAAGTCCCCACGTGATCCTAACATGTAATAGGAAAGCTTGGAAACTACTGTCCTAATGGAAACATTGCTTTTGCTTGCTTATTGGAGAAATTGGATATATAATTATCTTCATGTTAACAGTGTCCTGCTATATGGGGATGTTTTTCTCTTTGAAAAAATAACCCAATCTAAAATAGAAAGTTCTGAAGAAAATAGCCCAATGTTCTTTTCCTTTTCTCAGTAACAGATGACTTATCATAGTTTGGCCCATGTTCTAATCTGAAGTCAGTCAGTTAATCAGTATTTATTGGGCAATCGTGGGATATACATAGCCTTTGGGATACGTGTTAAAGGTTGGTTCTGTGTAATCCATGATCCAATAATGGTAGACAGGACAGAGATTTGTAAGCAACTGAAATAGCCAAGCAATAAAATAAAAATGTTACAAGTTTGCCTGAATTGAGAGAATTTGAGTGCATATTGATGGATTGGAAGAGACCTAACATTAATTGAAATGTGTCTCCCTGTAGGCCTCCTTAGATTTAAAAGATAAGAGTGTACATCTTAGCTTTTAGAGAAACCTCAGCAGAGATGTGAAGATCAAGTATGACCAACACAAAGCAAACGATTGGGAAGGAAGCATGATATAACAGCATAAGCACTGAATTGGGAAGTAACTGGGTAAGCAGTAGAAGGTGGTGGAGAGCGAAATTTGACTTCAGAAGGTTAGTAAGGTGCATGTGGGATGCACAGAGTTTGGCTGAGAGTTGGGTGGTTTGAGACCCGACCATGGACAGTAGATTTGGTCGTGGGGCAAGTCATAGGCATGCAGCCGGGTGGACTTGCTCTAGCCGTCCCAGACATACATAGTATTTGGCTGTACTTGGAAGATCAGAGGTCTGCAAGGAATTTCCCTTTCAGTTGTAGTTTGAGAAACAAAGGCTAACAAACTCTGGACAAGCCTACCTGAGGACATATACTGTACCAGGGTCATCAGGGTGGCTTTTCAGTAATGCACATTCCTGGGCTCAATCCAAGTGTGTTGGATGAGAACTTTTGGTGGCTAGGCCATTGCTGTAGACAGTGAAGATTCCAGCAACATGGATACAGGAGTTTTCTGATCTTCTTGTAAGGGGGAGAAGAAACCATGGGTGATTTCCTGAGAGTGGGGTTTATGCAGACCCCGGTTAGATAATTGTAGCTTTTGGTGTTGCGGGAGAGAACATATTGATGTATAGTGGAATGTCTGTCCTAAATATGAGGGAAGAAGTCACATGGATAAAAGGGGCCATGCTTCTGTGTAGCAGAAGCCAAGACACATGCTTTGCAGGGATCCTGGGCCGATTCAGGACTGTTCTTGCCGCTCTTGTTTGCTCACTGGTGCATCCCTTCCCATCCCTCCTACCTGTCATCTCTGTGGTACACCTGTCTGCTGCCTGGTGGTATTCTGCCCCTTTGTGGGAAGACACCATTTAC